TAGGTAATGTCGGCTGGCGACCCCCAGGGGGAGGGCCTTCTCTGTGGCAGCTCCCGCCCTCTGGAACGATTTGCCCCCGGAGATAAGAAGGATATCGGATCTCCGGGTCTTTCGCCGTGCCCTGAAAACTCTTCTTTTCCAGCAGGCAGAGCCGGTGTGAACCCGCCCCCTTTTTTAGTTTTTAATGGTTATTAATTGTTTAGTTTTAATCTGTTAATGGGTTTTAATTCACATTGTTTTAATTTGGACCAAAGTATATAATTCTTTTAATTAATTTTAAATTTTGTATTGTTATGTATTTTAGTTTTGGCTGTGCACCGCCCTGAGTCCACTAGGAGAAGGGCGGTATATAAATTGAATGAATGAATGAATGAATGAATGAATGAATAAATAAACAAATAAACAAATAAACAAACAAACAAACAAACAAACAAACAAACAAACAAACAAACAAACATCCCGTAGAATTTCCTAAACTAATTATGACAGATATTTTGCCATGTTGTTATCACTATGTAGTCAGTCACAAGTTAGGAATATAAATCTTTTTTTGAAAAAAAATATCTAATATGAATAAAGGGATAAAGCTTAAATGCTGTGAAAAGCAGTATTGTTCCCAAAATAATCTCTAAAGACTGCTGATATTCCACTTGGCTGCAATTTGGGACACCCAAATATTTAATCAAAAGTGTCTAATTTGAATGTGAAAAGTATTGATGTGTAATTCTATTTCATCTGAGGTTTCAGAATGAACAGGGAGAGGACAAGGTAACAAAAAGCCGTACTATTTTTTGTGGGATATTGAAGAAAAACATAGTGAGTGAGAAATCCCAAAACAGGATGGGATAAATCTATGCTTAATGATTTATATAAAAATGTTTTGAATAAAGAGAGAGATACATCTTCATAAGCATTCATTTTTATCTGAAAAAGTATATGAATACTAAAAACATTGTTAGAAAGCAAAGGTTATGCATGGAGAGTGACTGATTATGAATTTTCATACTTAAAAAAGTTGGAAAAACCTATACCATCCATCCATCCATCCATCCATCCATCCATCCATCCATCCATCCATCCATTACTTCAGTGTATAAGCCATTCCATTTCAAGAGAATCCATGTGATTTACACTAACTTTTAATAAGACACTAATATTTAATAAGATGAGAAAAATCAATACAAATATCAATACAAATATAACCAATCAGTAGATGTATTACCATGTGAAGATAGCATGATAGTAAATACTATGTATCCAACTGCCTTTTTGAAGATCCATGTTTTTTACGGCTCTCCAGCAACGTAGTTAGTAAGAACAGGAGGGACATCATCAAGCAGGCTCAAGCTGAGAATCCCTGGAGATGACATTCTCTCAATAATGGAGCTCTCAACAAACTGTCTTTCCCAGTTTTTACTGGGTTGGCAAATTCAACTCAAAGTAGATAGCCTGTCCAAGCCTTGAGCCATATAGGACTTTAAAGCTTATAATCAGCCCACTGAATTGCATTCAGAAGCTCACTGCAGCTTCCATAGCAGCAATGTTATATGATAAACACGTCTATAATTGGTTTGGCCACTCTGAGTTGCACCACTGAAGTTTCTGAACAGTCTTCAAGAGAGTTCCATGTAGATCACAGCCATAAGGTGACAAGGGCATAAGAGAGTAAAGCCTCTTGATTCAGGAAATACAACAATTGACATACAAAATATAACCGTACAAAGGCCTCCATGGCCATGGCCTATGCCTGCTGTTCAAGCAGAAGCCATAAGTTAAAGCAGACCCCAGGTTATGGGTCAGCTCTGTTTGGGGGAGTGCCACTCTCCAGTCAACTTCCAAATCCTTTGAGTTCTGTCTTAACAACTTTCATTCACCCTGTCTTGATAGCATTCAGTGGCCCAGTAGACAATCTTCTGGCTCAGTTTTCCGAACAGGGTCTCTCTCTTTAATGCTGTTCAGTTATTCATAAATGCAGTAAGAGTGGAGAAGAAAGCTTGTTTTACTGGTCTTACTGCCACAGTAAATGCTAGAATGACCTCTTATCCAAGTTAAGTTAAATTCATTATTCCTCTTTACACAACCGTTGCTCTAAGCATGTCTTCTGTTACTCTATTTCCATGGATCAGCAATGAAGGAGAACAGCTCAGAAGCCATCCACCAAGTACCGTTATCAGTTAGGCATCTAGCTATGTCAGATGGAGGTGGTACATCCATCCTTGTGTTCCTTGATCTTTCACTGGGTTTCACTACTTCACAACTACAGTATCCTCTGGGTACTGGAGATGGGGAATAGTATCTTACAGTGGTTTGCTTCTTTTCTCTGGGGCTGATTTCAACCAGTGTTGCTTGAAGAGGAAGAGATCTTTCTCCATGCCTTTCCTCTGTGGGGGCCATTATGTGCCATCAAGTTGCTGTTTTCTCCTAATGACCATTTAGGTATTAGGGCGCTGGAGGATTCTACTCACTCTTCCTTCTTCTTCAATATCTACAGTATATGGAATTTCTGGGTAAGGTCATCTACTGCTTTGGGATTCGGTCTCATCAGTACAGGTAGTCCTCGAGGTATGACAGCCCTTTTACGACTATTTGAAGTTATCAATGCACCCCAAAAATGTACTTACAACAGGGGTTCAAAATTGCAACCAACAAGAAGCCTGTGCAGTCATGTGGCTTGGATCAGTCACTTCTGAAATAGCAGCCATTTTTAGACCCGTGGCTCCTTTTGGGACCCAGAAGTCACCTGTGGTTACGACAGGCGATTTCCGAGGTCCATGTGGTCGTGTGGTTTTTTTTCCCCTCCATCAGGGACTTTGCAGCTAACATGCTCTTATTTTTCTCCTCATTGCTGCCCTGTGGACGACCAGAGGAGTGAATCTCTTGTGGCTGTTCTTGTTGCTTCTTTTGTTGCTATGGCCTTGAGGATTGGAGTACTGTAATTGCCTTTGTAAGTGCTTTAAAATTTTCTCTTGCATTATAGCACTGAGAGTGTTTGTAAGTACTTTACAAACTACTGTGCTTATTTGTAAGTACGTTACAAAGCTGAATAATATTTTTAATGACTGTATATTTGTCGGTGTTTGCTTTGGAATTGCTTGCAAAAATACTAGCCAGTGTATACAGAAAGCAGATTCAATAACTGTAAAGTTCCTTTGCATTCTAGTGCATTGTGTTTGCATGTGCTTTGAGATTGCTTGCAGAAAGTTCCTTTGCAGGATCCAATCTATGTCAGTCACCGAGATCAGAGGTTTAGTCTTTTGAGCTTCCAGGCTTGTGCTGGAGACCATCCTCAGGGAACTTCTCACTCACCAGAATTTTTCTTTGCATTCTACTTTACTGTGTTTGTGTTAGCTTTGAGGATTAGTATGTACTATTGTAGATTGCTTATAGAACAGCTGATGGTTGGGTGGCAGTGGTTCCGTCCAGAGGCTCCACACTGGGGACCTTACAAATTCACCCCCACCCCAATTTAAGTCCAGGCACCTATGGGGAGACACTGCAGTTTGGAAGCAGTAGGCCACCTTGCCTTGCCAGAACAGCTGATGGGCAGGCAGAAGTGGTTTCCCCTGGAGACTCCACACCAGGAGCCATGCAAAATCTCTAAACCTCTTGGTTCATTTAATGATTGCAGAGGTCATTTAACGAACTGAAGCGATCAGCAAGCCTGATCTTCATTCACTTAATGGCACGGTTGATTTGCTTAATGAGTATGGTTGTAACAATGAGTCTTATTCATTTTACAACAGTTTTGACTTACGACCCTAATGGGCAGGCTCCATTAGGGTCATACCTCAAGGACTACCTTATGCTTGAGGGTATTTGGACCACCAAGGTGTGAGAATGTACCATCTTTAAGCTTGCATGGGATAGCAGTTCCACATTCAAGAGTGATACACAATCTGGGAGTCTTCCTGGACTCGCAGCTCCTGCTTCATGAGCAGAGAGCAACTGCGGGTAGGAAGGGCTTTGCTCGAATTTATCTGGTGCCCCTCTTTTCTGGATCAGGTGGCTCTTCAGTCACTTACTCACCCTGGTCACCTCACTGCTTGACTATTGCAAGGCACTCTAGTTTGCCCATGTAACATTTCCGTTCCACAAGCTGCACTAATTGCCTGTTTGCTTTCCAGTGCAAATCAAGGTACTGGTTGTTATGTATAAAGTCTACATGGCATAGAGCCTGATTACCTGAGGCACTGCTTGTCCCCTACAGCACAGGTGTCAAACTCGATCATGTCACGTGACTTTTTTGCCTTTGCAGAGCCGAGGTGGATGTGACCTGCATGTGATGCATCTGGCCCACGGGCCGCCAGTTTGACATCACTGCCCTATCTACAAGGTGCTTTGATCTGGCAGGATTGGCAAACTTCATTTCCCTCAATTAAACCGTGTTATCTATCAAGACTCTGGAAGAATGCCTGTACTTTCATAGCGCCTGCCCTTTGGAATGAGGTTCTCCCAACTTCTAGATGGGCATTTTGGGTGGCCTCGAAGACCTGACTCTTTACCTAGGCCTTTGGCTAGAAAAAGGGAATCCCCTTTTGTGGAATGGATGTGTTTGTTGCTGCTCGTTTTGTCATTTTTGCTGCTTCTTTAATTTTGGCCTTGTTATTATTGTTAAATGGTTTTCATATTTTCTTGTGAGCTGCCCAGAGTTGTTGGGAGTTGGATGGAGTACAAATTGAGTCAAATAAATAAATAATAAAAGTTGAGATTTGATTAACACATTGAAGTCTGTCTTACAATATACATCACTGTAAAGCTATCATTTGACCTCATTAATCTTCCAGCTAACAAACCATAGCATGACAAATGTACAAATTACTCTGAGGGAAAACCCTATTAATTAAATTCATCACAAACTACCAGCTCAAGCAAGAAATTGGCATCCCCTCTATGTCTTAATTCAACACAGAGTTAAATGAATTCCAATACTGTTTGTTAATATATTCGTGTCTGAACAATGTACGCAACTACAGAGGTTTCAAGGCAAAGCTGTGACTCACCTTATATCTCTCAGGCTCCTCAATATCCAGAACTTCTGCATTAAGCTGGCTGTTCCAATCGGAATATCGCCTGTTATTTGTAGCACTTGGTGTAAAAAGCCAAATTATGCAGGTAGCAATAATAAATCCAATAGCAATTCCCAAGAAAAGTCCACTGATGTAACTAGGGAGAGGAAGTATAAGGTAAACATAGATCAACATGGTGAGAAAGTACAGCGTCTTCATCGGAAGCCTAGCTTGTGGTGCTGGTAGTTCAATTCCACCTTCACTTCTAATTAGTGTAGAAATTTCTTCTTGTACCTCTATCTTCTCCAAATTCTCCAATTGTTGGTCTTCTCTATCATCTTCTATTAAGCAGAAGTCCTCAGAATACAACTCGCAGAACTCTTCATCTTCCTTACTTGCCAGGGCCGACAGGCAACAGCGTTCAAGTACCAGAGAAGTCTTAGAACTAGAATCCTTTGTGCTTAAAAACGGGGAGCTTCTAGGTTCAATTTCTTTTGCGCGTCCTTCAGTGGCTTGGGTTTTGGTACTCTTATTTACACTGGAATTGCTTCCATAGAAGTCTCCTTCCGAATCACATTCTTCTTCCTTTATACTATAGTTATTATTGCTTTCCAAATGGCCATTCAAGCTGGAGAGATTGGACAGTTCTGAAGCACTTGACGATAAAGCTTTGGGCCTGTGGCTGCTACTCTCATCACTCATTATTTTGCTGAAGAGCTGAAAAGGCTCATAAATCACTTCTGAAAAACGCCTCTTTGTGTTCTCAATTTTGGCTTCCATTTCAGGTACTTTAAAAAAGGAGCGAGTGTCTGGAGATGTTAAGGGAGACGAGGGGGCTGTTTTGGAATCGCTACCTGTGCTTTGAGGCTGGGTGAACTGTTTGAAGAGGTGCAAGTTCAATTTAGAGTCAGGTGGTTTGAACGACACTGTTTCCGGCTCCTGCTTAGAAGTGTCTGTGGACAGAGACTTCACCAGAGTTTTCATTAACTGTCTATGTCTCGTGGGTAGAGACGGCTCTTTTGGTTCAATGTCTGTGGAAAGGGATTTGACTAAGCTCATGAAAGGCTTTGAGCTAGTCACAGTGGTTGGCGTGCTAGACGAGACATGTGACTTGGAAGGGGAGGACAAAGGAGAAGATGAAAGGCTGGTTCTCAGTTCTGAAGGCAATGCCACACCAAGTGGGCTAGGGGCTTGGCCCAAATCTGAGGAGGGTGATGCAGCCAATGGCACCACACTAAACCCTTGGGACTCCAAGGGTTTCACAGTTGGCAGAACTGTGGGAGATGCAGCCACAAAAAGCGAGGTAGTGGGAACAAAAGAGTTCTGCTCACCATGATCAAAGCATAGGTCTTCCTTAGCTTCAAGTGCAGTTACAATGCTTTGGTCATCGGGTGTCTCAGGGGGAGACTCCGTACACTTTTCTTCTTCCTCCTCCTCCTCCTCCTCCTTCCCAAATGCCGAGAAATGAATGGTGATGGTTTCTCGGGAAATGGATCGCTGAACCTGCACTTTTGGCGCTGGCTGCTTTGAAGACATTTCACTGGTTTTCTCTGCATGGCTAATGTTCAGACTTGTCATTGCAGGTCCCAGAGATACACCAGGGTCTATGAAAAGGAAGCCAAACATAAATTAGACTGAAACTTTTTAATGTTGCACAAGATAATACTTGTACAGATAGCCTTTGACTTACAACCACAATTGAGCCCAGTTGTTAAATGAATCGGGCTTCCCTATTGACTTTGCTTATCAGAAATTTGCAAAATGAGATCATACGACCCCGTAATATTGTAACCATCATAAATACGTGCCAGTTCCAAACATCTGGATTTTGATCACATGACCATGGGGATGCTGCAATGGGTTGTAAGGAAAATGGTCATAAGTCACTTTTTTCAGTGCCATTGTAACTTTGATCAGTCACTAAGCTAAGTTGGTTATAAGTCAAGGACTACTTGTGTAACTACAAGTGTAAACCTAGCAAGAAGAAATACATTGGAAAAACAAAACAACCACTTCAAAAACGTATGGCACAACATAGGAGAATAAACCCATCAGGACAAGATTCAGCAGTCTATCCTGCAATCCCGTTGCGAACTGGTAATAAAGGTAAGTAGAACCCACCCCTGATATACATACTTGAGCAGTTCTGCATTATTATTTCGGCAGTAAAAAATATTTGCGCAGATAATAAATTATTAAAATGAGAGTTGTAATAAGTTGATTATTTGCCTCTCCAAGTTGTCAGTCAGGATAATTACGGTTCTGTGATAGTACTATTCATTCCAGAGATTATAATGTCAAGCAGTTAAATTTATTAATCAAGGAGTTCAAATATCAAATATTTTCTATTCTTCATCTGAACATTAATCTTTTAAAGAACAACGCTTTAGGGAAATGTTTGTATGTGTATACATATATACCAGAGGTGGGTTTCAACAGGTTCTGACCAGTTCTGGAGAACCGGTAGCGGAAATTTTGAGTAGTTCGGAGAACCGGTAGTAAAAATTCTGACTGGCCCACCCCCATGTATTCTCTGCCTCCCAAGTCCCAGCTGATTGGGAGGGAATGGAAATTACAGTTTCCTTCCCCTGGAATGGGGTGGGAATGGAGATTTTACAGTATCCTTCCCCTGCCACGCCCACCATGCCACGCCCATCATGCCACACCCACAGAACCGGTAGTAAAAAAATGTGAAACCCACCACTGATATATACAAAGATTTGTGCATATATACATGTGTTGTAGTAAGATTACTGAGTAACATATGTGAATTCGGGATTCCAAGATTATGCATTATATAACCATGTTCATACTTTTGGCAAAATGAACCAAAAATCTCATTGAAAACTAAATCTCTTCCATACAAAAATGCCTGTATGCCAAACAAATAGACTTGTTCTTCCAAAAATTCAATTTTCATGTAAGAAGAGTTCCTTAATAGATCAAAAGGTTGAAAATAGCAAGCTACCATGAGAAAAAGCACAGTTCTAAAACATCTTTTAGCTCAAAAAGAACTGTATTATCAACTTCCCAGGAGGATGTGATTGCTGGACCACAACCTAAAATCAGGACCACCATACAACTGGTAAGCAAGACCATATGATCTCCAAGAATGCAACTAATATGTACCCCTAAATGACTGTAGTGATTAATAGCCTTTATTACTTTATCCAATTTTTTAAAAAAGATATTCAACATGGCTGTCATTACTATTTATAGTAAGAAATGCTTAATTTTAAATTAATAATGCATTGCGTGAACAATTTATCTTTATTTTTCCTGATTTTCTGCTATAAGACTTCAATGGGTGATTCCAAGCTCTCCCTTGTGCAACTATATACATGACAGAATTCTCTCCCTTATCCTTTCTCTAAACCATGCCTAATCTAATACACCTGAGAAAATACAGCATGTCTACTTTTGTTTGCATTCCTGATTTAATTTTGTAATTTTCCATTTGAAGATACTTTTATAGGTTTTGTTAAGCAGTATGACAATAAGCGATTAGTAGTAAGTTACTTCTGAGATAGGGTATTGCAGCCCATTGAGATTCTGTGAAGGAATTTCTACTTTGAAATTAATTTAATTAGATTTAGCGATGGTCATAGTCCATTGATTTTTCTGTGCCACTAGTGGGACATTAATACCACAAGTAGTACTCTCTCCACTGCTAGCAGTCTTAAAATCAGAATGCTGTACTCTTGGCTTAATCCATAGTGTCCTATGATATGAAAGATCAATAGTACAGAGAGTGATAATAAAGATTTTCTGCAATGTTTTTAAAGGAGAAAGGGGGCCTGGTAGAGTTTTCAAATTGCAAAATCAGGAGCAACTAAATGGGGAAATAAGAGCTACAAAAAAGTAATTTTAAAAAGCCCAACATGATTGGGTAGCAGCTTATTGAGGTAGACATGCATATTTGATACTTGTGAAAGAAGCCAGGATCTCATGCAAACAGGACAAGAAGCCATAGCCCAGATGACTCAGAATGAAATCGACTGGCTCAAAAGATAGCAAAGAAATGACACAAATACATATTCTTTATTAATTATTTATATCTAAACAATGTCGACTGGCGGCCCCCAGGGGGAGAGCCTTCTCTATGGGGGCACCTACGATCTGGAATGAGCTCCCCCCGGAGATACGGAGGATTCCGGATCTGCGTACCTTCCGTCGCACGCTTAAGACGTTCCTATTTCATCAAGCTGGCCTGACCTAAATTTTTCCTCTTTTTAAATGGAAATTTTAAATTTGGTTTTAATTTATTGGGGTTTTAAAATGGTTCAGCCAAATTTATTTAATTAGTTTTATCTCTATTTTAAATTTTGTATCTATATGTTTTATTTTATGGCTGTTCACCGCCCTGAGTCCTTCGGGAGTAGGGCGGTATACAAATTTAATAAAATGAAAATGAAATGAAATGAAATTTATTCAAACTATATGCTGAATATATTTTCAAGGAGGCTGGATTGGAAGAAGGTAAGAGTGATTTTAAAATTAGAGGAAGAAACGTTATTGTGCTATGCTGATGACACTAGACTGATAGCTGAGAATGTGAATAATCTGCAAGCTCTAGTAATTAAGGAGACAGTGAAAACATGGAATGAAGATTAAATATAATGGCAACAGATACAGTCACTGGCTTTAGAATTGACACTGAAATGTCAGATAGCTTCTTCCTTTTAGGATTATCAGCAAATCAAGAAATGTACTGCAAGCAAACTCTTGGTAGGGTAGTAAGGAAGACCTTGGAAAAGATATTCAGAGGTGTGATGTTTATGTTACAAAGATCAGAATTGCGCAGGTGATTACTTTCATTATGACCTTCAATGGAAATAAAATTTGGAGCCTGAAGAAGCAAGATACAAAGAGTTTTGATGCTTTTGGTTGGAAAAGACTCTTGAGATTACCATAGATAGCCAAGGAAACAAAGGAGTATATCATAAAACAACTCAGTCTGAAATTCTCATTAGAAGCATGAATGACCAGGATCGAATTATCCTAAACATTATGTGAAGACTCAAGTATCTACAGAAAAGTCTAACGCTAGTAAAGGTGGAAGGAAAGAGAAGAGGCCAAGCAGCAGCAAGATGAATGGACTCAGTTCAGTGGTGGGTTCCTCCCGGTTCGGTCCAGTTCGGCCGAACCGCTAACAGTGACGATATGACGTCACCGAACCGGTTCTCTTTGTTCGGGAGCTGGGCTTCCCCCCCCTCACGTGTTATTCTTACCTTTTATTTGGTCCCACCCCCAATCTATTCACTGAGATAGCAAAGAGATCAGCCAAGTCCCAGCTGATCGGCTAGAAGGAAAAAAATTGTTTAAACTCTTGCCACTAGGCTTCAAAGGGCCGCCCTACAGCTGATCAGTGTTAAAAGGCAGTGTGGTGGTAGACCAGTGCGCTCGAAAAACAAATGGGTAGACCGGTGCGCTCCAAAAACAAATAGGTAGACCGGTGCCTCCAAAAGCAAAAGGGTAGAGCGGTGCCACCAAAAGCAATTGGGTAGACCGGTGCCTCCAAAAACAAATGGATAGACCAGAACGCTCCAAGAACAAATGGGTAGACCGGTACAGCTCTGCAAGCAGTTAAAAGCCTGGTAGACCAGTACCTCTGCTAAATCCTAAAGAATTGTCACATGACCATCAAACTGACCAGGTTCACTTATGTTAATTATTAACTTAACAACTGCAATGATTCATTTAACAACTCTGGCAAGAAAGGTTGTAAAGTGGGAAAAAACTCATTCAGCAACTGTTTCACTTAGCAACAGAATTTTTGGGCTCAACTGTGGTCGTAAGACAAGGACTAGCTGTACCCGCACTTTACCAACATACACAGTGTTTCAACTACTTATATAAACATATTGATTTCATTTTAAATGAGATCTCATTCAAATCAGATGCTTTTGATTGCACATACAGATGTCAATACACCTCTGGCTTAGCCATCAGCAAACAGCAGCCTTGCTCTTTTGTTTATGTTCCAGTTGAGAAGCAACAGGAAAAAAAATTCCACTGCTTCAACCAGAGTGTACTGAAAGTGCAGTTGATCATGTTTATGAATAATTTCTCTGCATCTGTGGTTCTTAACCTTTTCTTCAGCAAGCACTTCCCCTTAAATACCTTTCTTGTGGCCACAGACATGGCCACGGACCACCACGACTCAAGATTTAAACCATAGCATTTCTTAAAGCCTTCACAGGCCCCCTGTGATGACATCGTGCTCCCCCCCCAACCGATGGGCTCCATGGACCACAGGTTGAGAACCACGGCTGTACATCATGTCAAAAGCACATGTAACTACAAGCGGAAGTGTAGTTATATAACAGAATAGCAGACTTGGAAGGGACCTTGGAGGTTTTCTAGTCTAACCCCCTCTGCTCAAGCAGAAGACCCTATATGTTTTTTCCTAGAGCACTTATTGGAGAAAAAAAATGTTGTGGTACCATCCCCTCAGCCCTAGCACACAAATATCTTCAATATGTCCTCCAATCATTTTTCCATGGATGTAGCTGAGAACAGCTTGCACTCTTGCACACACAGAGTGTCACAGGCTGCTGGCAAAGCAGGATTTCCACATTAAGCGGAACACAATAGCCACACAATGTGCAGTTTGCAGTCCAAGCAGAAAACTTCATAGTACATTTTGCACCTTGGCAACTTGGGCCAGGCAGTGTCAAACTGCAGCTCCACTGAAGATCGAAACATAAAAATTAAATACCGGCTTCTTCTCATTCAAAAGAAAAAAAGAGAACAAATCAGGGAGACCTTTACATTGGTTATTCTTTGAAATGGACAGAAATGAATAATAAGTTTACAACACTGTTTTCTGACTGAGGAAAAACAAGTACTATTGTAGGATGTCTAGATTTGCTCAATTGTACGTTCCAGGAATAGTCAGATCATTCATTAATGGGTATAGTATATGACTGTGCATGGTTATTACATGGTTCCCCTACCAAAAAATGTCATATCACAACTCCCAGAATTCCCAGCCAGTGATAGTTAGGCAGGCTAGGAATTCTGGGAGGAGGCTCCAATGTATCCAGAGGGCACTAAGTTGAAGAAAGCTGGTTTGGGAGTTCTTATTTAGAACTATCATTGACTGCGCAAAACTTTCACAAGTTTCCACTAAATAAGGATAAGCAACATCCATGCCGCAGTGCCTGTAATAAGACTACAATTGGTCCTCTGTGCTTATAAAAGTACTTTGTAGGCATTGAAGATGCTGGCCTGCATAGGCAAGTTGCTGAGCAAAAGCTAGGCCATAGGAAGTGCTCCAGGAAGGGATAGGGCCTGAGGGTGACAGCCTCACAACTATCCAAGCAGGTTTCCTGAAAAGAGTAGGGCTTGGTCAACCAAGTGATGCCACTCTATGGACACATAGTTGTCTTCACTCTAGAACAGGGGTGTCAAACTCAAGGCCCACGGGCTGCTTAGATCTGGCTAATGGGGCTGCCCTGGAAACAGCAAAGGACTGGCCCGCGGTGCCTCTGCCAGCGAAAACAGAGCTCGTGAGGGCCGCATGCAGCCCTCCTGAGCTCTGTTTTTGCTGGCAGAGGGTTGCAGGAGGCCATCACAGCCAAAAACGGAGGTCTGGAGCCTGTTTTTGCTGGTAGAGTGCTCAGGTCACCACAGGCGCCTCTGACACGAGTGATGTCAAGCTGTTCACACCCACCATGGCCATGCCTGCCCCAGCCCCCCCCCCGCCCCCGAGGTCAAACACAACTTTGATGCGGCCCTCAATGAAATTGAGTTTGACACCCCTGCCCTAGGACAGGCACTGCTTCAGGATTATGGACAAGGAAAGTGGGGAGACAAATTTGGTCAGGGATGATGGCCTGGGAGACTAGGACTGCTCAAGGGAAGGTAAAATGAGGAGGAGGATGCTGAGAAGAAAGGCAAAGTATTGCTGCCCCACTGTGAGGGTTTCTGATAGATAAGAAGTGACTATGAGCAAGACCTCTTTGCTGGGCCAAGGAATGGAGCATGATCTCTGCCAGGCATGGAGAGAGAAGATACAGAACAATTAAAACTCGGACCACATGTTTTCTGAATAGTTTTTATCCCAGAGCTATAATTGTACTCAACAATGAACTAAAGGGCCACCATCAGTGAGCTGTTGGACAGCATTACTTGGTCTGTTGTGTGGATGTTTGGGTGGTTTAGGGGTGGGGAATTTGTGGGGAGTGGGGGGGTGTTTGGGGATTGTTATGTATGTTGGACCTGGTCTTTGGGTGTTAAGTGAATTTCGTTGTATGCGTATACTGTGTATACACGTACAATGACAATAAAGTTATTATTATTATTATTAGAAAGGAAAAGGAATGAAGTCAAAAGAAAAGGAAGGAGAAGAGATGAGGGGGATCTGAGCAGCGCTTCATAGCATGGATTTTAGATTTTATCTCCCTTGTGGAACAATATCTACAAGTAATCCTTGATTTACAACCTCAATTATGCCCATACTTTTGATCCTAAATCATTGTAATCACCTGGTTTTAAAATGGCTTTAAATATCTTTTGCTTTTTATACTTGTATTGTTTCCTGTGCTTTTTTTTTCTTTCTCTAACTTTTCTTTGTATGTTTCCCTGTTTCTTTTACCTATGTCAAAAACGTTTAAATATTTTCAGATGCATATCAGAAATAGGGAAACATACAAAGAAAAGTTAGAGAAAGAAGAAAAAGCGCAGGAAACAATACATGTTAGATTAAAAATATGATTTATTATCTTAAGCCATGATATATTCATAGCGCCTTGACTCAGATATTACACAAGACCTAAAACACAATTAAAGTTTAGCAGAATGTGTAAATCTCATTTTAAGTGTATTCCTCATCATGTATGTGTGTGTGTGTGTGTGTGTGTGTTTGTGTGTGATTGTAAACCACCAAGAATTACCCTGTGGTAAGATGGGCAGCCAATAAGTTTTATAAATACATAATAAACTACTAAACTATTAAAATAAATAAAAGTACTCTAAACATCTTACAGTATTTTGTTTCCTTTCTCACTAGATGCCAAGTGACATATCTCCATTCTTACTTCTACTAAAGCAACGTTTCACAATGGCTACATTCATACATCATAAGTCACAATGTAGTTTCTGTTTTCTGACCCCAGCAGCTATGGATCTGTAATCTATGGCTTATGACTTTGTGTGCCATGTGAATCCAGTCAATACTTATTAAAACATGATTAAAATATGGCTTAATGTCATATAGCAAGATGCTAGATTTTTATTCATATTATGACTTACTACATCCAACTTTCTTCCTTCCCATACAGTGTCTTCCCCAATGATAACATTCAAATTCCAAGATCAGGGGAAGGAGCCTCACCCCATGCATAAACTGGTATCAAGCTGCACTGAATAAAATACTAATCATTTTTCATACTAATTTAAACATACCTTTTCTAGTTATTCCTGTCATCACATGCTTCCAAAAAGTATCTCAAGTACGTTACATATGGTTTATATGATGTCTGCCACAAGTTCAATTCCTCATTTAAAATTGCACCCTTTTCTTCATAATTCTTAATAATTATAGATGCGGGGTTTTATTAGGATTTGGATGTCTTCTTTATCTTTCTGCTAGCTATCCTCTGAAGTTATTCAACTACTTTTTTACAATCTACATAAAACCTATGCTTATTTATCGACCGATTCTTCATTCTTTCCTGAAAAGCCTGAATTCTTTCTTCTAGCTATCATGGAAAAAAATAAACAGTCATACTCAACCTTTAAAGAACTTTATAGTACCAACATTCTTATTTCCTGTTAAAGGAACATCATTGTGCTGGGTGAGGGCAAAGATAAACCATCAAATGATAGTTCACTGAATCAAGAGCAAACCATTTTTGATGGCCAGAAACCTCATCTAATCCTTTTTGGGATATCAGTGGGCTGTTGGAGGTGGTAGTGTTGCTATTACAAATGGATGAACCAATGGTTTTTTAGCTTTGGGTTCCGTAGTAGAATTTATTTTTTGAAATAAATTATTGGACCTATTTCAAATTTTATCTTTAAAATGTCTAGAACAAACAAGAAGTTTATCCAAAATGAAATAATATAGTACTCATAAAAGTGGTCAACATTAAGCAGCACATACCCATTTAATGTCTCTGTTCAATACACCTTTGTTAAGCAAATCGGAGTGTGACATGAGAACCAGATCTATGGTTGGATATTTGTGGTGAATTGGAGGAATCCCATCCCAAGATGTTCATACAGTGAAAGTTATTTTTAAAAAATCAGGTTGGCCTATCCAGGTAAATGGGGAAGAGACACATCTGAAGTCTACAAAAATGGGACTTTAAGAAACCAATCAGAAGTAGGAAGCTTTCTATCTCGAGTAGGCCTTCAAAGGAAGATGGGATCAGTTCTGTTTTCCTTTTATCTTTTCCAGTGGAGCTCCTCTTGGGCTGTTTGGATACCTGGTAAGAAACAAAGCTCCAACCCAGAAACTTGGGTTGACAACTGAAGAATTATATGGCAAGCTGGTAGCTAATGAGAGTATGATGAGGTATATAATTTGGGTTCTCCTATGGCAGTGGTGGCTAACCTTTTTGCTGTCGCATGCCAGGGGGAGCACAGGGGGCTCATGCGTGCGCCCACACCCATAATTCAATGCTCCCCGCCCTCCCGCGCATGCGTGCGCGACCCCTCCCCTACACTCCCCACGCTTTTGTCATGTGATGGCACAGTGGGCCTAGTACGCCCGTTTTTCACCCTCCCCAGGCTCCAGAGGCTTTCTAGGAGCCTGGGGAGGATGAAAATGGCCTCCCCCCCACCCCGGAGACCCTCCAGAGGCCGGAAACAGCCCATTTCTTGACTTCTGGTGGGCCTAGAAGGCCCGAAAATCAGTTGGCCAGCATACATGCGCACTGAAGCTAAGCTAGGGCAACGCTCACGTGCCCACAGATATGGCTCCACGTGCCACCTGCAGGTTCACCATCACAGTCCTATGGACTGTGAGCTGAGTTGGGGACTTTATGTCGTGGGTGATAGTTTGTAGAATTTTGACCGAGCAGGTGAGCCAACTGACATCAACTTCTTCAGCACTAATTGTTTATTCTCATTTCTTGTTTTGTTTCTTTCAACTTCCTTCTAATTCTTTGTCTAAGATGTACATAAGGAAGACTTGAATTTCTATTATTTTCCTTCTGGGGAAAGGGACGAGACTTAGCAGAGGTCTGTCCTCCTATTAGGTTAAGCTTCTGAAGGGAGGAGGAGTTGCCACTTGTTCCTCAAGAATCCCCTGCAAGCAAATGAGTGACAAAGCCGAACAGATTTCACATCTCTCCTGACTGCTCTTGGGTGAACTGAAATATGGAGGAAAACATATTTTAATGCTGATACTGCTAAGGGCGATTTAAGGCTGCCTCATCCATAAGATAAAAGCAAAGTTATAAGGGACATGATAGGGAAAAAAAGAGGTTGTCAGGACATATTTGTAACATCGTTAGATGCAAATAAGGAAATATTAAAAACTTCTTATCAAGAGGTAACTTAAATAAGTTTAAGATAGAATATCTGTTATGATCGATGCATGTTTACCAAATAGGATGTGACTGTGGTCCTATCAGAATAGAGTAGAGCTTTAATAAAAACTATCATGAGCTGCGTGTTACTAAAGACTGCTTTCTTGTAATTTTTTAAAAAAATGTTCTCAGAAGGGGAGGAAACAAATATTCAAGAACCACCTTAATCATCATCTCCTATTTCCTGTCCTTGTTGAAAAACCAGTTTAATATTTCAATGGCCTAATTAATGAGCTTTTGGCCTGTTCTTTATTTATTCACTCACTTAAGGTATATTTACCAATTCTTTAAGCAGCTGCATGAATAAGTCAGCCTCTATCCTCAGTTTTACCATCTAAAGACATAAAAGTAAAGGTAAGAGGATTGGAAGTGAGAGAGCTGAGTCTAAGCTAATGTAGACACAAGTTATTGATCACAAAATAATTCAGCAGATCACAAAGCACAGTAGAAAGGCTGGTGGTTCTTGTACATAAGAGACATGAACCAGCTTAACTCCCCATCATGGTTTTATTAGTATCCACACTGCATTTCTTGGTATTAATTAACTGAGTTAATGTCATTCTTTCACTCTTCACACCAAGGATGGACAATTAGAAATCTCTATTTAATTTGGGAGGTTTCCGAAACAATACTGATACTAGTATTTGGAATATTACTTCACATACACATACATACATGCAAAGCCTTTCACTGTATGGATTTGTGTATATAGGTTATACACACATATCACTGATTGCATCAGATCAGGGCCAACATATCCACTAGGCATAACAAAAACGGACAACAATGTTTTTAATGCTTTTAAATCAGAAATAATAAAAAAGTAGAATTTACTTTCATGCTTTTCCATAAAAAGATAAATGCACATATCATGAACATCAAACTGCTGGTTTTATTAGTAATTTAGAGGCAAGAGAATGAATATTAAAATGTTGTAATTTGGATGATACTGTACATTATAGACATCAGGCAATAACTATTATTACAAAAAAATACATAATTTATTATTCCTTCTCTGTAAAAAATGTCTGTAAAAAAGACATTATTGAAAATGATATAACATATAATTTTAATACTGGTATAATTATGGTGGGAGGGACCTATGGGAGCAAAAGTGCCTACGGCCCACTAATGTCATAATGCAGCCCTGCATCACGCAGATAGATGTCATAACGTCTTCTCTGTGAAAAAAGAAAAGTAATGCTACAAAGAAATCTCCCTTATCTAATGTTTTTTAGTTATACTGCACAGTAGAGAAAATTATTGATTATTAGTCATCTCTGAGCTTCTTTCAAAGCCACCAGCAGTTTCCTAATTTAACTTTTTGTCAACCATAAAATTCATGCAAATAAAGAACTCTTTCAAGTTTTCTATCAGTAATTCTTGGATTACATCTTTGGGAATCCAAGTATTGTATCACCTGCGTATTTTACACACACATAGAGATTGGTAGAAACCTTCAAAAGCACAGGACAATAATGTTATGTAAAGGTGATCCTCAACTTACAACTACTTGTTTAGTGACTGTTCAAAGTTATAATAGTCCTGAAACAAATGACTTATGACCATTTTCACTCTTAAGACAGCATCCCTGTGGTCACAGGATCAAAATTCAGACACTTAGGCAACTGGCATGTATTTATGACTGTTGCAGTGTCCTGGGGTCATGTGATCACCTTTTGTGACCTTTTGACAAGCAAAGTCAATGGGGGAAGCCAGATTCACTTAACAACCATGTTACTAACTTAACAAATGCAATGATTCACTTAACAACTGTGGCAAGGAAAGTCGTAAAATGGGTCAAAACTAACTTAACTGTCTTGCCTAGCAATGGAAATTTTGGTCATACGTGGAAGACTACCTGTTTATTGTTGAATTCAATATCAAGGTGCCCATTTATCCACTCCCACTTATTTGGGAGCTAAGGCAAGCAATTTGTTGTTAATACTACTAAATAATCATGATATTTGATATCTCAGGATCTACCTTTTGTCTATAAATAACACAAATATTCATTCAGTTCTTGAAAACATCTTTAGATGTTTTATTTCTCTAATAATATTGCCTAGTTTTATATTATATGCAGTGGTGGGATTCAAATAATTTAACAACCGGTTCTCTGCCCTAATGATTTCTTCCAACAACCAGTTCACCAAACTGCTCAGAAAGTTAACAACCGGTTCTCCAGAAGTGGTGCGAACTGGCTGAATCCCACCACTGATTATATCTATCCTAAACGTTCATTAACATTCAGATTCTAATGGTATATAACAGTGATGGCAAACCTTTTCGGCACAGACTGCCCAAACCGGAACGCGCACATGCACTGGAATGCCAGAAACCAGAAGAGCATCTGGCAACGGTGCGCCTGCCCACAGAGAGGGCTCTGAATGCCACCTCTGGCACGCGTGCCATAGGTTCGCCATCATGAGAATATATGCTCTCCCTCCCTTGTTAATCATTTACTATTCCTAAACAACAATTAATGGACTGAAAAGAAATATATAATTGTACATATCCTTGACAATGTATGTTCATCATGGTCTGTTTCACTATTCCCGAGCTACTCTGCAGACAAAGAAGCACAAGTGGATTTGTGTTCTGTTCCCATTTTTTGTTCTCTGCCACTTCCTCTCTTTACTTACTGTTAATCTTGCTCCCTTCATCTCATCTTTGTCAATTTTAAACTAAATCAGTGTTGATATTTATTATTTTAATGTTTTTAATTGAGTGTTTAATTATTGCTAAGCCACCTAAAGTTGTTTCCAAGCAAGATGGGTCACATATAAGTATAATATACATATATACATACATACCTATAAATATAGATAGTACATTTACAACAGTTCATTTAGTGACCCTTCAAAGTTACTATGGCACTGAAAAAAGTAACTTATGACCATTTTTCACAGTTACAATCATTGCAGCATCGCCACAGTCAGATGATCAAAATTAAGATGCTTGGTAATTGACTCACATTTATTTATTTATTTATTTATTATTATTTATTTATTATTTAAATTTCTATACCGCCCTTCTCCAAAATAGGACTCAGGGCGGTGAACAGCCAAAGTAAAAAACAATACATACAAAATTTAAAAGCAATTTAAAATAATTAAATATTTTGGCCGTAAATTAAAAACAACCCAATTTAAAATCAAATTAAAATTAACTCAAGCCAGC